TTTCGGTTCAGATATGCGGTCGGAAGCATGCACCACCGGCTCATGCCCTGCGACCACATGTCTGTCGAAGAATGCGAAAACCGATCGAAGGTCCGGCAACGTCAATTTCTCCGTCCCAGGCGGATTGAAAATGTCATAAAGCCTCTTGCCGTACCCAGCGTGTTTGGCCCAACGAAGAGCAACGCGTTTGACACCCGTCATCTGCTCACCTCTAGCGTTAAGGACCATCGTCAACTCCAACATGGCCGACGGCGATTTTTCTCCACTCCACTTAACCACACCGCCAATCGGAACAATGTTATCTTTTATCACCACGTACAAAGCGAGCCCACCCGAGCGTTCCCCGATTCCACCCACCCAGTCCAACATCCAGCACTTGTCGTTGTGGTCGACGACAGGCACCTCGTCTCCCACACCTGCAGCGGACGTGTCACCAGACCTTTTACGCCTCGGCACAACGTCCATCGCAGATTTCCCCTGCCGACCAGTAGCCTCCTCTTCTCGACCTGCAGCCCCACCACTCATCAGCACAGCCGAATCCGGTCCCGAACCTCGAACATGGGCGGAAGAAGTGCTCGTAGAAGGTGCTCCCCGCAGCACCGGGGTTCGGTGGCCCTTAGACCCCAGTGTGTCACCAGCCCCCACGCCAGCCGTCGGTGTCCCCTTTGTTTTTTTCGGAGACTGCTCCATGCTCCCGGAACCAACACTAGTACGTCGTTTGCTTGGCTTCCCCTCGCGATCCATGCCGAGCAGCTAGTCGCAACTGAAGAAAACGCACAAGCGAGAAAGCAGTCATTGCTTTGCCAACGTGCAAACACCACAGCACTTGAGAACAAGAGTAGACAGGAACACAGAGCAACTGAAGCGGGCCGCAGCCCGCCAGCTCGTCGTCGTTTCACTGTCGTGTCGAACTCGACGGTCGTGCCACGACGTCCTCCAGTACTGTCGTATCCGACACGAGAGCGACATTGCGGTGTCGTCGTGCCACGACGTCCTCCAGCACTGTCGTGCCGAACCTGATGGCACTGCGCGGGCTGACCAACCGTCGTGTTGGACACGACAGCTACACTATTGTCTGTCGTGCCAATGTCGACCAAGAGGCCCTTCATGCACCGTCTGGTCACCAGATAACAGTGTCCATGTCGTGTTCGACACGATGGTCGCCAAACGGTGCGTGTAGGGGAGCTGACCGTCGTGTTCGACACGACAGCGACACTGTCGTCCGCCGTTCGACAGTCGACCAAGTGCCCCCTTGGGCACCGTCTCGAATCTGACACGAGAGCGACATTGCGGTGTCGTCGTGTCACTGTCGTGTCGAACCCGACGGCACTGCGCGGGCTGACCAACCGTCGTGCCGGACACGACAGCTACACTGTTGTCTGTTTGCTACAGTCGACCAAGCGGCCCTTCATGCACCGTCTGGTCGCCAGATAACAATTTCCATGTCGTGTTCGACACGATGGTCGCCAAACGGTGCCTGTAGGGGAGCCGACCGTCGTGTTCGACACGACAGCGACACTGTCGTCCGCTGTTCGACAGTCGACCAAGTGCCCCTTCGGGCACCGTCTGTCGACCATCATGTCGAACACGACAGCGACACTGGGGTGTGTTGTGCGACATTTGCCGGGTTCGACACAATGGTCGCCGGACGGTGCCTAAAGGGGCACTTGATCACGAGAACACAAGACAACAGATCGCAGACACTGGTTAACATGGAGAAACATTGACTGTTGAATGTTTGTGCACACAAAACATCAGAACAATGAGTTTTTGTTTTCCGAAAGGAAACACAACATGAGAACAACAATCAAACACTCGGCTGACAGCGATATGTCGGTGTCCAAAGCCAAACCAAAAACACGTGTCATCATTCCCGGGTTGCAATGAATCGGAAAACAATATGAGGACAACAACGTCAAACGTGTGTACTTTTGGCCACTGAACACATGACGAGAACAACTAGCAGATACCGCGTATTGTTATCGAATAACACATTGAGAACAGCAATGGAGAACAACCAGCAGATACCGCGTATTGTTATCGAAATAACACATTGAGAACAGCAATCGCAATGCGAATTCCACGAGGCTGTCTATCGACTACGGGAAACAATCTTAGCCGTTGCGGCCATTTTGGCCATTCAGTATGCCATTTTGGCCATCCAGTACGACGAAGGCTATCTACCGACTACGGGGAACAATGTCGTCGTTGCGGTCATTCAACACGCTAATTGGCGATCCGAAGGTCAGCTGCTGCGCCGTCTCAGCAAACACCGAAATGTATGTCATTCGCACAAACCCGGGGTTCCCGACGAGAGAAGCGCCTATAGCATCCCGAATTGAAACGACTTTAGCCTCGACCTCGCGCCATGCGACAACGTCCTCCACCTGGCCACCCACCACGATATACAGTCTCCCATCTACCCTTCTTTGAACTAAACACATATCCCTCCCTGACATAGACAACTCGTTCCTGGACACATACACGACAGCATCGGTCAAGTTTCTTGCCTGCTCGAAACGGCAATACAGAGGACCCTACAGAAGATAAAGTATGTCAGACGCAATCTCACACAACAATACGAAACTGCTCCTGGCGACAGACCGGGAGATCGCAACGGATAATGACTGATGAACTGAGAATGTCGCGCACAATCGAGTAACTCCTGTTTCATAACACGGCACCAAGTGCGAGGCGAGGTTGTCACGTATTCGCAGTCCAAGACCTCCACAACACGGCTTATTTTTAGTTTTTTACACAGTAGCGGCAAGCGCACGAGACGCAGCAGATCGAACGGCACGGGAATGAGTTTGCCGAATTCGGACATATTCGTGAACTCATAATCGCACGCCCACGGGCATCTCTCCATCATGTTCACCCACTCGCACTCCTCCCACGAGTCCAAATGTTTGTCGCCAAACAGGAGGATTCTCATCCAAGGGTCGCGTTCAAAGTCTTCTGGATAAGCGCCTTCATAGGTTACGCTACCTTGACATTGCCGGACGTACAGCACGCAAGGTGGGAAAGGGTGTGCCTTGCGTGCACGCCAAAGTGCTGGGGTCATATTAGAGATCTCCATAACAACAGTGTAGAGAAGACGCCCTGCACGGCACAAGGGCAACGGTCAACAACAGCAATAGAACAACCAACAGCAGCATAGAACTATTCACCCCGCTCCCACCAACAATGGAACAAACCAGGCTGCACGACAACACAATGCACAAAATCTATGAGCGCAATCCACGCCCATGCACGGTCCATAGCACTGCACACAATCATGAACGATTCGATGACATTGCACCGCTCACATTCTCGTTCCACTAGAGGACAGGGAATGATCGTGTTCGACTCAACAACAGGGCACTCGCCTATTGTGTTCGACACAATGATCGTGTTCGATTCGACGATCGTGTCCGACTCGACAATTCGACGATCGTGTTCGACTCGACTATCGTGTTCGACTCGACTATTGTGCTAGACTCGACGATCGTGTTCGACTCGACGACAGGGCACTCGACGAACGTGTTCGACTCCACAAACGCAGTCGACGATCGTGTTCGACTCGACGGTCGTGTTCGACTCGACGATCGTGTCCGACTCGACGATCGTGTTCGACTCGACGAACGTGTTCAACTCGACGGTCGTGTTCTACTCGACGGTCGTGTTCGACTCGACGAACGTGTTCGACTCGAAGAACGTCTTCGACTTGACGAACGTGTTCGACTCGACGATCGTATCCGACTCAACGATTGTGTCCGACTCGCCGAACGTGTTCGACTCGACGATCATGTTCGACTCGACGGTAGTGTTCGACTCGACGATCGTGTCCGACTCGACGAACGTGTTCGACTCAACGAACGCAATCGACGATCGTGTTCGACTCGACTATCGTGTTCGACTTGACGGTCGTGTTCGACTCGACGATCGTGTCCGACTCGACGATCGTGTTCGACTCGACGATCGTGTTCGACTCGACCACCATGTCCGTCTCGCCGATCGTTGTCCGACTCGACGTGTTCGACTCGCCTATCGTGTTCGACTCGACGAATGCAATCGACGATCGTGTTCGACTCGACGAACGCAATCGACGATCGTGTTCGACTCGACGATCATGTTCGACTCAACGATCGGGCAGTGTCGTGTTCGACTCGACTATCGTGTTCGAATCGACGATCGGGCAGTGTCGTGTTCGACTCGACGATCGGGCAGTGTCGTGTTCGGCTCGACTATCGTGTTCGACTCGACGATCGGGCAGTATCGTGTTCGACTTGACGATCGTGTTCGGGTCGACTATCGTGTTCGACTCGACGAGCGTGTTCGACTCAACTGTCGTGTTCGACTCGACAATCGGACATCGGGCACGATCGCATTCGTGTCGGGCACTGTCGTGTTCGACTCGACGATCGGGCACGATCGTGTTCGACACGACGATCGGAGACGATCGTATTGGACTCGACGATCAGGCGCGATCGTGTTCAACTCGACGATGGGGCACCATCGTGTTCGACTCGACGACCAAAAGTGCCACGTGGCGTTACGTGGTTGAATCTGGGCTGCGTGGTTGTGTCCTCACCGTCTGATCCTTCAAACTCGGGGTGCTCCGCTGTGGTTGTGCGTCGCGATCTCGGGCCGTATGCTCGCTACGTCGTCACGCTGAACACGCCTCTTGACAGCGTTGTGGTCCGTCGTCGCGTCGAGCAGGTGGTCGGCTATGCACGGACCGAATCCCTGCGCTCCGTTGCCGTGCTGTACACGAGCCTCCACTGCGCTGCGTTGTGGCACGAGCCTCCGCTGCGCTGCGTCGACGAACCTCCGCTGCGCTGCTCTACTGCTGCCTTGCCAAACTGAAACGAAAATGGGAACTAGTGACCCTCCCTCATATATATAGTTTTTTCGGGAGGGCCCTTCGTGAGCACCTGCTGGCCGTCCGATCCGGGAATACTGACGGTCGGGATTTTCCGATGGGGAGTGGTGGGCCTGCCTCATATAAGTGGTTTTTCGGGTGGGCCCTCCGCGCGCGCCTGCTGGCCGTCCGATCCGGGAATACGGACGGTCTGGGCGATCCAATGCCTGCAGTCGGCCGAGATCGTTTTCCCCCCTTGGCCGGAGCGGAGGCGCGGGGATGACGTTCCGCTGCAGAGCAGAAATGCGATTCACGCACATGAGTTCCCTCGACATTGTGTCATCGTTCACGTTCTCGGAGAATCACCGCAGCCGTCCACCAACGTCGATACGACAACTGCTCCGCTCTCCAGGTTAGTGTCGCTTCGGCCAACACGCTCCCCCCCCCGCCCCCCTCCCGAGAGAATGAGAAAAGCCTCCGTGTCCAGTGCTGGTTTATCGGTGACGTCAACAAGTTTTCTCGAACACTTTCACCCCAGTCGTCGTCGTGTCGAACACGATGGTCGACACGGTCATCGTCGTGTCGAACACGATGGTCGTCGTGTTGAACACGATCGTTGTCGTGTCCGACACACTGGTCGTCGTGTCAAACACGACAGTCGTCGTGTTGAACACGATCGTTGTCGTGTCCAACGTGCTGGTCGTCGTGTCAAACACGATCGTCGTACACGATCGTTGTCGTGTCCGACACGCTGGTCATCGTGTCAAACACGATGGTCGTCGTGTTGAACACGATCGTTGTCGTGTCCGACACGCTGGTCGTAGTGTCAAACACGATCGTCGTCGTGTCCGACACGGTCATCGTTGTGTCAAACATGATGGTCGTCGTGTCGAACACGCTGGTTGTCGTGTCGAACACGATCGTCGTCGGGTCGAACACGATCGCCATCGTGTCGAACACGGCCGTCGTCGTGTCGAACACGACCTCCATCGTATCGAGCACGGCCGTCTTCGTGTCCGACACGATCGTCGACGAGCACGACCGTCTTCGTGTCCGACACGATCGTCGACGACGGTCGTCGTGTCCGGCACGATGGTCGTCGGGTCTGACACGGTGGCCGTCATGTCGAGCACTTTGGTCGTCGTGTCCGCCACGGTCAAACGGGGTCTTGGTCGTGTCGAACGCCATCACGGTCGTGTCGAACACCCAACTCTTTTTCGCCACAACCCCCACCTATGTTTCGACTTGCGCAGAGTTTAGTGCGAGTTGCGCCAGCAGAACATAGTGCCCGGGTGACTGTCTTTTGTCTCTTGTAGCACTGACTGCTTGTTGCGAGATTGCGCCACGACCCCCACCTTGTAATATACAATGGAGCTCCTGTCGTGTTGGGCGCGACATTGGCGTCGCCGCAGTCGTTTGCCTTCTCAGCCTGGCTATCTAGAAACCCGTCGTGCGCCGTAGAACGAACTCTGCGCGAATTTTGCTTCGAATCCTCGGAGTCTGGTACCCGGGAATCAAGACGGGGGACCCTTCCATGCTGGGCGAGGCGGTCACGTTGCCACGATGGTTTTCCTGCTCACTTGTGGCAGTTTTCCTGCCCGCTCTGCGTGGGTGGTGAGTACCACGCGTGCCAGGAATCAAGACGGGGGACCCTTCCGTGTTGGGCGAGGCGGTCGCTTTGCCACGATGGTACGGTCGCGTTGCCACGATGGTATTCCTGCTCACTCGTGGCAGTTTTCCTGCCCGCTCTGCATGGGTGGTGATTACCACGCTTACCACGCGTGTCCAGTCGCTGTAGTTCCTGGAGTAATATAGAATCTTTCCTATCAATGCCCTCGTGCCAAGATGTGTGTTGCGCGCTAGAGTCTTCGTCGTTCCGCTGTTGGTGCCCGCTGGGTTTTGCGCACCGTGGTCTATGCCTTTCCGAAGCTGGTGCCCGACGTGACATGTGTTGCGTTTCCTGTTGCGCGTCAAGATCTCCGCCTTTTCAATGTTGTTGCACGCTGTGTTTCCGGTTGCTGGTGCCCCGACTCGACATGTGCTACACTTCCCACTGTCGATCGATCTCCGACTTGGACAGACTCTTTCGCGTGTATTGCGCCTTTGGCACAGATTAGGCCTGATGACAAGATTGTTGCCTAGATTCCACGGTCGTGTGTTATCCTCTCTCGGATGTTTCCTGTTCCCCTCCGTCCAGTGTAGGGCTGTGTTTCTCAGGGTCATTTGTAGGGTTGTGTTTCTCGCTGTTGTGTAGGGATGGTTGTCTGCTCCATTTCATTGACCTCTGATTTTTGCCTTTTGACAGTGGTCCGCTATTTTGTTGTCGCAGACACGTCTCATACATGGCTTGTGGTATGCATGCTATGCCACGGCAGGCTTGCAGCACAACCTTGGAAAGCATGGACTGTGTGGCGTCTAATACAATGCTCAACGAGGATTTTCCTCCACCGCACCTGCCAATGTGTTCACAAGATGTTCGAAGTGGTCACGATCATGTCGATAATGCTCCGGAATCTCCTGCTCGTAAGAGGTCACGAAATATTGCGTGTGCGGACACTACATGTAAAAGTGCGTTTCCCGTCCTTCGATGCCCGGTTCGAACCTGTGATGCAGAGAGAGCTCAAGGTCAGGAGGGTAAGGCCTCCTCTACTGACAACGACGCATCCGATGTAGATCGTGTTGTATGGGTGCCAAGGAGTTCACTTCGAGATTTCGAGTACACAGGTCTTCTGTTTGGTGAGGGTAATGAAGGTGGTTCAGATTCAAGTGCTTCGATGTCGTCTAGTGCTTATAGTTCTCCAGATAAAACCGATCTTCTGCAAACATACGCTGGCCGGAACAGTGACCACTGTTGTCGAAATGACGATGAGAATTGTGAATCAAGAGTGGTGTTGAGATTGCCTGCTTGCTATAATAAGGTTGATATTTATAAGTTGCTAAAGTCACAATTCGACAACATGGGTGCTCCTTGTGTTTCTCTCCAAGTTTTTTACAACATGTGGAGAACGCAGTTCTGGCATGTGAAATTTCATAACATTGATCAAAACTTTGCGAAATGCGAGAAATGTGTTGAATACAAAAAATCTATCAATTCCGCAAAGTTCGTGCGTGTGCGTGAGTATTTTGTTTCGTTACGTGAGAAACACTTAGACTTGCAGCTCCAACATCGTGCTGCGTATGAGGTGTGGAAGGATAAGTCGAAGAGACCGGGTTCCAACAGTTTGTGCATCATCATTAACGGCATGGACCAAAGCAAGACCAGCATTCCACACTTTGGCGGAGAGAACAAATCGAAGGCATTCGCAAATATTCCGATGTTGAAAATGAATCTAACAGCTATTATTGAACACAGCCGCTCACCATCGGTCCATGTTCACACATGGTACCCTTGCTATCCACATGATTCTAATGCTGTAGTGTCATCCGTTATGAAAGTTATCCGCGACATCTAAGGCCACGAGCGACTTGCCTCCTAAACTGAGGATACAAGCTGACAACTGTTGGAGAGAAAACAAAAACAGATACGTTTTGGCACTCGCTGCAGCTTTGGTGAAATTTGGTTTCTTCAAAGAAGTCGAATTCGGTTTTATGTTAGTGAGACACACACATACGGACATTGATGCCACTTTCAGTCATTTCTCTCGCAAACTAAAAATGCACGATGCATATACCATGCTCGACCTCTTCAAGCTCGTTGCCAGTTCTCAAAAAGAACGTCCATCGTGCACATTCATGGATGAAATTGCTGATTGGTGAGCTGCTGTTAAGCCCTTCCTGGTCAAGAGACTGACCGGTCATACTCGTCCACATGCATTTAGGTTTATATGCAGGATGACAATCCTGTGTTCCAGTGGAAAGAGTATTGTACTTCTCCTGAATGGTCTGCTCCAGTATATTGCTTTAAACGAGATGAAAACAAAGCATATGCTGGACCTGAATGGCCATTCGTGCCATCACTTGTTCCGTCGTCAGCTTCTCTGCCTACTAAAGATAGGAATTCGGATTTCGAATCGGGAATTGAAGGTGTGAAGACGTTTATTGGGTGGTTGGAGAACAAGCGGCACGAGTGGTTGGGAATGAAAGATAAGGTTAGCTTCTCAAAGGAGAGTGTTCTTTCACACTGGAAAACTTTTCTCGAGACAGTCGAGGAGCATTACGGGTCTGGGTTTGCGAAAACTTCACTCAAGGCTGGCTTCTGGCCCTCACAAGACAAAATTAAGAAGGATGATCCAGATGATATTGATATTGCCTTCCTCTTGAAGAGCAATGAGAATAAGGAGCCGTTGTTTGTTGGACCGGCCAATGAGCGTCCAAAGGCGGAGCTCAACCCAGTTGTGGATGTCGAAAAAGGCCAATTCATTCTCTTGCGTTCTTCCCAAGATGATATCGATGAGGGAGTTCCTGTATGGATGGGTAGAGTCATTTCTGATGTAGACAACGATATGAAGTCGTCAACTTTCAATCATATTCTTATTGAATATTGGGTGCCACAACCTATTGCTAAACGTCTTTCTGTGCAATATTCGAACGCATGGAAGAAGACGTGGAAGAAAGACAATACAACATCACAGCAGTAGCAGCATGTAGACTGTGTTGTGTGGAGCTGGACATCAAAGACATTGCATTTGAAAAATGGAGTGCACATTCCAAAATCGGTCACAGACAGGCCTTGGTATGCCTTTCACTTCCCAATAATGAAGATCAGTAGGTTTTCAATAGGTTTTGAATAAGAGCTAATCGTTTTTCTTTACACGTATTAGTACGTTATTTAGTTGTCATTGAGCTTTCATTTATATATATTTAAACTGTATTTTCATGTGTTGCAGAATAGTTCAACCATTTGTGACGACTGGATGGCCGCCAAGTAACATGGTGTGGGAAAGAAATATATGGCATGATATGGGTCCAGTTTTCTTCACATCCGAAGTGATCTTTGACAGTGCAGTACTCAGTGTTAGAGGTATGGATGCCCCACCGGAAGACTGGGAACATTCTCCTCGAGAGTCACTGTATATTTGTGGTCGGAGGTGTTGTGGAACGAGAACATACCCGCGAGAAATGCTCGCATCCTTTTCGGAATTGTATTATTCAGCAGTCAAATTCTGCCACAACAATTTCAACATGATGACCTTGTTTTGTGCAGCGGCAACTGTTCGAGGTCGGTGCAAAGTATCTTTCCTTATTTATAGTGACTTTTCTGCAAGTGCAAGTATTTCCAATGCAGACAACATCGATGAACGACAGCGGCAAGAATTCCGAAAGAGGGTCATGGAGCAACCATCACTCAAAACACTCATGGATGGGCTTGTGGACACGGCCATCAAATATTTGCGAACTCTCCTGCTGCGCGAATATGAAGTAATAGAAAGTTATATAGAGTACAAGGATCCGGCGATTGACGGACAAACTGATACCATCGTTGTAGAAGATTGGACAACTTATACAAGGACAGACTGAAATGTTGTCTTGATCGCATTAGTTTATCCCCTAAGTCTATCTAGTTACTAGGCTTGTTTTGCCTACTTTCGGAGTGTCATTTGTGCTTTGCATTTAATTTTTTTTTTTTTTATTCGGTCAATTGCCTTGAGACATCATCTAAGTTCGAATAGCCCAGCCCTGCATTAATATAGAGTTATTTGGTTATCCGATTTCAGCGGGATTCAAACTAAGGTTTGTATTTTGACAGTTTATGGGTGACACTGCTTTCAAATTGCTTTTAATGTTGAACTTTTGCACGTGTTTTCATTTCATTGTGTTGTTGTAGTTAAGCAGGATTTTTGTACGTGTTTTTGGAGTGTCCGCTGCACTTTGCTGTCAAATATTAACAGATCTTTAAATTTTCTTCTAAGGTCACATGCAAGGTTTTTCAGAATGTTCTTTTATGTAAGCCTTTAAGTTCAAGGAACATCAAATTCCGAACTGATTGAAATATTGTCAAGTTCAACTTGATCCGACAATCAGTGAGTCTCACGTTTTGCAATATGTGTCCATGTTGTGTAAGCTTGGTATTATAATTAATATAATAAATTGAATATAACTTCTTGGATTTTGCGATAGAATGGATGTATTCATGTTATGAAAGGTTTGGATAATATACTGTAACAATAGTTAACTCATGAAAGTTGTATTGGTACAGATATGCGACTTTTTAATGAAACTTGTATTAGTGCAGATATGCGACTTTCTTGTTGTTAAATTTACTTTTGTTCTGGTAAATTTGTTAATTTCATTATGTTCACTTTTTATAAAACATTTCATTTTTAACGAAAACACCGTTCTATGATATGCATGGGAAATATATTGACCCTAAGATTGCAGGTGGTATGCGCAAGGAGGCGCTTCGTCGAGCCGAACTAGGTCCGCCACCACCGGCCATATTCCGACTCTGGCAAGAGGAAGATGTCAGGTCAACGATAAAAGTGGAGGAACTGACCAATAGTGAGTCCGAAGAGGACATCAGGAGGGAAGAGCGAGTCGTGATAGAAGAGGAGGAAAATGAAGAATCGTATTGCCAAGGAAGGGCTACAGATACCATGGAGCGAATGGAAGACCTCGTGGGCAAGATGCAAAGGTTGAACTTGAAAATGAGGTCCATTTGCGAAGGAGTGGCGAAGCCGATGGTTTATTTATTAGGCTCAGAGACAGGGCCATCGAGTGTCAAACCGGCTTGTCAGACCTTGGGATCAACCCCGCGATCTAGCATTACATTTCGACCTCCTCGAGGGCAACCCATATTCCTGCAAGCAGTATGCACGAAGAGTAAGAAAGGAGATCCCAGTAGCAGTCAGGAACCTCCGAGCGAAAGTCAGCCATGAGAGAAGGAGTCAGTTATCGACGTGGGGGGCGAAGGGAAGGAGGATCAGGAAGATGAGCGGCTAAGGAAAGAAGAGGAAGAGCAAGCCGCCCAGCGCGCGAAGAGGAGAAAGACGGAAGAGAGGCCAGAGAAAGCAGCAAAAGGAGAAAGCTCGCAGAAACAGAAGTACGCGGTACCATTAGAAGATGGCCTAGACATTGAAACCTTGGTCGATAGGCTTCTAGAGGGTCATAATGACCTACTTAATTTGAAGGATATCCTCGCCTCAGCGCCTAAGCTTAGGAAAGGATTCAAAATGTGACTCTCTCGTCGAAGGGTGGTGAGCGTACGACTAGGAGATCTCATCCCTGCCGAGGCTCATTGGGCGGTTCCTAGGACGAAAATGGATTGGAAATCGGTCGGGACTGGGAGTGTGAACCTGAGTATAAAGGGTAAGCCGTGTAGCGGAATGCTGGATACAAGAGCGAAGATGAATATCATAAAGGAATCTGACGCACTCCGCTTGGGGATGGACATCGATCGAATGGACTCAGGATTCCTCTATGGCGCAAGTGGGAAGACTCCTTTTACTGGGACGGCATCGAATGTGGTGATTGAAATCGGGAAAGTGAAGGTGCGGTCCTGCTTCTTCGTTACGCCCGATTTGGACCATCCTCTCCTGCTGGGAAGGTCATTCCTTTGCCGCACTGAATCGATGATACTCAACAAGCATGACGACACAATGTACGTCATCTTAAGTGATCCAGTCTGCGGCAACTACGAGATCATCACCTATCACAATACAGGACCTCATAGCTTGAGGAATAGGCCGAACCCAGGTTCCTATACCTTTGAGGAATCTGAAGGGGAGAGGAGGAGATTAATGGGTGAAGACGAAGAGGAATGTGAGCCTACTGGCGAGATGTGCTTAAGCCTAACCAGCATCAACGATGCTATGGAGATAGTGTCGTCATATGGGATGGCGGATCCCATTGCTGTACAGGCTTTGAGAGAGAGAATAGTGGAAGATTCCGGCGAGGGAGAAGTGGAGCTCGTGTATCGGTTGCCGGCAAGGACAGGAGAACCAGGGGTACCCCAGAGTCGTGCTGCGAGTCACCCTTTTTTAGGGGTGGGCTTAAGCAGAGCTCCAAAAGGAGGTACAAGCGCGTAACTGAGAAGAGTCACCCCGTTCCTGTCCTCATAACTGTGGAAGAAGAGTTCAACTATGAGCAGGAACGTGAACTGATACGGCAAATGAAGGAGGATGCAGAACATGGGTCGTGCCGTATCAATGAGAGGACCGAGAGGGACCTGATAATAGGAGAGTCAGGATTCCTCACGCCACAAGAAAAGGTCCTTATGGTAGGGGTAATGAAGGAGCGGCATCGCGCATATGCGTTTGACGATGATGAGCGTGGGCGCCTCGATGTGGATAAAGTTCCAATGATTCGGATCCACACTGTGCCTCATGTACCATGGAACTTGCGAGGGTCACGCTATCCTAATCCGGCAGAGGAACGGAGAGTAGTCGACTACTTGGATGACAAGATTCATTCTCATGTAGCCGACTACTCAAGTGGGCCTTACGCATCGCCATGGTTTTGCTTTATGAAGCCGAACGGTACCCTGAGGTGGGTACAGGACCTTCAGCGTCTGAATGCAGTAACGATACGAGATGCGGGAGGTTTGCCGAACGCAGATGCGCTGTCAGAATCCTGTGTCGGGCGGCCTATCATTTCTTTGATAGACCTGTACTCAGGGTACGATCAGTTCCCGGTGTATCCACCTGTCAGGCCTATGACTGCGATGCATACACCAAGAGGACTGATCCATATGAATGTGGCACCACAGGGTTGGACGAATGCTGTGGCGATGGTGCAAAGGCATATGGTTCGCGTTATGCAGACCGTTAGTCCACATCTTACGCAACCATACATCGACGATTTGGCCGTGAAAGGACGAAAGAAGAAGGATGAGACGGAGTTTATGCCTGGGGTGAGGAAATTCGTCTGGGATCATATACAAGATATTGCTTAGATTCTTGACATTCTGAAGGATTACAACCTTACCGCAAGTGGACTGAAGTCGAGACACTGTATGCGGGAGGCGACCATATTAGGCTTCGTATGTAACGAGAACGGTCGTCGTCCTGACATCAAGAAAACTAACAAGATTCTCAAATGGTCGGTGCTGTTCGAATCTGTTAGTGAAATTCGTAGCTTCTTGGGGACATGTGGCTTTTGGCGAGTTTTCATCAAGAACTTCGCTGAGAAGACAGAGCAGTTGAGGAAGTTTGTCAGGAAGGATCAAGAATGGGATTGGGATGAGAAGCAGGAAGGAGTTGAAAGTAGTTTAAAAGGGGAGTTCAAAGAAGGTGGTCTGGTGTTGGGAGTTCCTGACTTCAAAGCAACGCCAAAACATCCTTTCATCGTAGAGACTGATGCAGGGCCTACAACGCTGAGCGGCATTCTGATCCAAACTGATGTAAATGGCGAGGAGAGGCCATTGAGATTCGAGAGTCGAACCTTGAATGACACTGAGAGAAACTATTCACAGTTCAAGCGGGAGACACTTGCAGTTCTCCACTGTCTAAGGGTGTTCCGCAACTACCTTTTCGGAAGGAGGTTTGTGCTGAGAGTGGATCCGACCGCATTGGCCGGCTCTTTGAAGAACTATGCACCGTCAGACCCAACCATTGCCAGGTGGCTCACGTATGTATGGATGTTTGACTTTGAGCTGGAACGCATACCTGGGAATAAGAATCGGGTTGACGGGCTTAGTCGGATCAATTGGGATAAGTCTGTCGATGGAGCTAATGAGGATATACCTCCGGTAGATGCATTCCTCGATGAAGAGGAAGATGTGAAGCTCCACATCAATGCGCATGCCGTTGGGGTCAGTGGAGTCATTGTGCAAGGGCAGTCTGCTTTTCTTGCTCCTGCAGGGTACGTAAAGCGAGCAGATATAGTCCTGAAGGACTTCGTGGAGGATGATCCTTGGGGAGGAAAGGAGGTTGAGTGGATGACAAAGCTTGCATTGATTGAGACCTTCCAGTTAGGAGAAGATCGATTGGTCATTGAGAGTGGAGCCTACTCACTCGACATGCACGCGAAGTATGTGGCGGACAGTTTCCTTGTCAACTCAATTGTCCAAGTGCACAAGGATCGAGAAGGGAGATGAGACCCTCTGAGAGATATGGAAGAGGACGAGTTCGAGGAAGGAGAGATAACGGAGGCTTTTCGCGCAAATGAGTACGAAGGTGTATACCGTGAATTAGGTTTGCTTCTCTCATGTGAGATCAGGGAGAGAGAGGCAACTAAGAAGGTACTCGAGATGCGACCTCGCTTTTTAGTCCAGGATGGACACCTTTTCATCAAAAACGAGGTTGGCAACCCGAGGAGGGTGATCTGCGGCCGAAATCGTCAGATAGACGTTATAGCCGCACTTCATGACGGACCCGTGGGCGGTCATAGAGCATTCGCCTTGACATATGCAAAGGCGCGAGAGTTTTACTACTGGGAAGGAATGAGTGAGATGATTCGCAAGTATTGTGAGTCATGTATTCCATGTCAAATCAGGGCATCGACTATGTACAAGGAGTCATTGCACCCGCGGATTGTGCGAGATGCAGGAGCAGTGGTCCATTTGGACCTACTGGCAATGCCTCAGGGAGTGGGCGGCTACAATTACATCTTTGACGCGCGGGACAATCTTACGGGGTTTGTTGATGGGCGAGCCATTCGTAGTAAGACACGCGAAACATTGGTTTTGTGCATCTCCGAGTATTTCCTGAGATATCCTTTCGTAGTGGAATTCGTGATGGACAGGGGGTCAGAGTTCACTTGTGGAGAAGTGCGAACCTTGTTGCAAGAATATGGCGTACAAGCCAGCTACACGACTAAGGTACATCCGCAGGCGAATGCTCCAGTTGAGAGAGGGCATACCACAATCACGAATCTACTGGCGAAATGGACGAACGGCGGGGAGAATCAGTGGCCTAAGCATCTGCGCGCAGCATTCTTCGTCGAAAATATTACGATTAAGAGATCCACGAAGTACGCGCCAGCAACGCTATGGTATGGAAGGCATGCCACCCTCCCGATAGAGAGCTTTCTGAAGACATGGAGGAGGCAGGATATGGAAAGCACCTTGTCCTTCGAGGAATTGTTGGATTTGCGGGCCAGACAAGTTGGCATCACAGAAGAGAGGATCCAGGAAGCTGCAGATCAAGTAACGGACAGCCGGTTAGGGGACAAGGAGAGGTGGGATCTCCTCCCACGAGTCAGGAAGGAGCCATTGGAAGTTGGAGATGTGGTGCTATTATACGACTCGTCGCTATAAAAATAGTGGTCGCGCAAGTTGGACAAGCGGTGGTTAGGCCCGTATCGCATTAGACGGTGTGGGCAGCATGGAGCATATGAAATTGAAGAGCTTAATGGCACGCCGTGGAGAGATTGGGTCTCTGGTTCGAAACTGAAAAAGTTCAAAGCACGAGACTAAGGTAAGGGCGATGGAAAGACACCATGAGTAGTAGAAATAGAATTCGATTCCTCGTCTTACTAGATGGTACTCTGCATTAGTGATAGGATAGAATTGTGTGCTAGTATTTAGATAGGTCTTCGTATGAGTTTTAGTTCGTCAGTCAGGTCAATCGTCTAAGGGTATGAGAGATCTGCTTGGGTCAGTCAGTATAGGCATTCCTCATTCCTCTTCTGTACTTACTTCTGTTTCCTCTATCGTCCGTCCTTCTTATTTGTGCAGGGTTGGCTTTTCGAAGTTGGCCATTATTTGGAGGGGCAGGAGGATGGCGGGACAGGAGGATAAGCGACTAGCCACGTCTTTGATACTGGACTCATTCCGTTACGGGGGTGGACATGTATTTCCATTTTTGGACAGGTTAGTTAGGCAGGTTTAGATCCTTCGGTTAGATTTTGCTCAGATGACTGAGAGGGTCTGGGGTACTGGCAGCTATGAGGAGCGTGTGGCTCAGATCGTGAGAGGGTCATTGGATTGGAGGCAGTTCGCTAGGCGGATGCTGAGATTGCAGCCTCAGCCCATTGATCGGCAGGGTAGGCCCATGCGGTTTGACGGGGCTAACCTGGATGAGTTCCTTGAGGTTTTCGTCATTTTTTGGGATGGGCAGAGATGGATTGAGGCACAGAGGGTTAGGCAGGTACGGCACTGGGTTGTCCCGGATCTTAGACATGAGGTGAGTGCCATGTCACACACAGTGCAGGCTTGGGCGGAGCTTATAGCGACGCTTAGAGGGGCGTTCACAGCTGACAGACGACGCAGGCTGCGCAGAGAGGGTGGGGATTATATCCCGGAGCTCAGGGTACGCGCGCGAGCGCAGCCAGAGAGGGATGAGGATGATGAGGGGCGATTGCGACAGCAACAGAGAGAAAGTGAGCAGCCAAAGATTCCACGCAGGCCTAGGACAGGCAGGCGTAGAGGACGTCAGGATCGAGGGGATGATTTGGAGGAGAGGGATCATGTGCTGATTAGTGATGTTGGGAAGGTGCTCCCCACGGATGATTTGGGGGAGGAAACCTTATCGATAGGATCTCAAAGGCAGGACGATTCATCTACCCCTGAGGTTGGGACAGTGTCAGCGCCAGAGACGTGTCCGGCTGAGATAGGGATTAGAGACCGTGGTGCGTCTGAGACAGATCGGACTACTCCACCTACACCCATACGAGATGGGGAGAAGGCTTCCCTGCAGCTTGTGTTGACGATTGCTTCGGTCCGGCCTACAGAGACAGATACCATGGAGGGAGTGGTTCCCGATACTGCATCGGAGAGGCCTTATCGATGGAGAGACACACGGGATATGGCACTAGATCTCCCATAAAGGGAGCTATCGCTTATGATAGGGTCTGCCACTAGAGGACCGATGCAGGAGCACGAGGAGCCTCAGCCTGAGTGGCCGCGAGAGACGACGTCGATGCATGATGAGCTAGGGTATGATGGGCAGATGGTCCAGTCTCAGTGAGATTCGGCAGTGGAGGATGGTGAGAGAGGTGCGATGGGACCCTCATCATTGAACGGATCACCGTTACTGAGCGAGAGTCGATTGGTTGAGCAGCCAACTAAGCCTGAGGGTTCATTGACTGCCCAACTATATGACATGGAGTCTCCTAGGATGCAGATGCGACAGGAGGTATCCCAACCCTCGCCCATGGACATGGAGACAGAGCGAGTTGAGGCCGAGGTTTTGGGGCTAGATAGAGAGGGTCTCAAGGAGGACATGCAGACCAAGCGAGTGGAGACGTCACCACTAGACTTTGGGGATACTCCACGACGAGATGGTGATCAGATTGCGGCCAGTATGAGGGGTCACATTGAGGTCGGCGCGAAGCATACCCAGGATGCATCTCCGACTCATGAGGAGGAGAGCTTGCCAGAGTGTCGGGGACCGATATATCATGAGCCTGTCATGAGGGATGCATGGCTAGCCGAGGAGATGGGACGGATGCCATCATTACATTTTCCAGGCTGGCTGGCTTTTGAGCGACTTGGCCTGGCCGCGAGACCACACTTGTCAGTTGATCAGACCACTGGCGGGCTCAGAGTACTGTATGACGACTTAGCCTTGCAGAGGAACTATATTGGTAGTGGCCTCGTAGCAGCTCGACAGGCGATAGAGCAGGTTCGAGATTACACGAGGAGAGTTGTCATCCGATCCTTTGAGTTGAGTTGCGACAGACAGATGGAGCACGGTGCACTGAGAGAGGTGGTGAGTGATCTCCGTACATTTGTTGAGGGGAAGGAGGTCCTGACTCTAGAGGAGGCCGAGGCGGTCCTCAGGATTCAGGAGAGAGAGGCGAGTGATTGGCGAGCCCAGGTTCAAAGGGTGCTCAGGGAGTATGAGCCACCTGCTGACGCAACAAATAGAGATAGGCTCGAGCGCAGGGTTGTCCTTGAGACCGTGCGATCATCTCAGTTGGAGAGCCAGGTATCGACTCTTGTCAGGTTACGGCGAGAGACTGAGGAGCAGACATAGAGACTCTTCTATGAGGATGCGGCCACAGCCGGATGGCAGGAGGAGGTCAAGATGAGGAGATGGACAGGAGAGGAGCCTATGCCTGAGGGCGAGCGTACGCAGGCGGAGGAGGGGCTTCAGACGAGATTGTTGTCTGATGCCTCAGTGCGAGAGTTGGTGGGAGTGATGGAGCATGTCAATAGACTCACACATACCGAGGATGCACGAGGAGAGGTGCTTCAGGGTGCAGTACAGAGGATCGGTGCTCTGGAGCGGAAGAACAGAGGACTGAGGGACACGGTACGTGGTCTTGTCACCAGCGCCGAGCGGGCAAGACAGTCCACCTCGAGGCTCGAGCAGAGGATTACTGACCTAGAGGAGAGTCGGAGGCGTCAGGCCACGACAGAGGTGGTCGACGAGAGGAGGACTGAGGAGCAGCAGATTCCTGTCAGACAAGCATACGTCTCTCATGAGGTAGAGCCAGGTGGAGTGAGGTTAGACATCCCTCAGCGAGATTCACGGACAGAGGAGCCACTTGGGGCTATGGGGATGACATGTGAGGAGGCAGCAGTCGTCGACAAGCTCATGCTTGAGCCAAACGAGATCGAAAGGAGGAGAGAGGCAGAGGCACGAGGTTTGGACTGGGTTCCTCCCTCAGAGTTGGCGGTTCAGAGGGATGCATGGCGAGGATTGGGTGGAAGACATAACGAGCGAAAAAGAGTTTCAGAGCTACGGGATATCATGCCACAGGAGGACACGAGCGGGTCAGCAACAGTACTGCCAACGACTCTGCCGCTTACACCAGCTCCAGTTTTTGGGTCAATGGACGACATAATGCACCTCCTTTCTTCAGGGTCTGGGAGATGTGACGAGGAGGTGACGACTGAGGGAGCCTCGAGGATGTTGAGTCCTGACACGGTGGATAGGGCCGTACACGATGTGACAATCCGACTCGAGAGGGCACAACCTCGGATCCTACCCAAGCCTAAAAAGGCGAAGGTAGAGGGCAGCGGCACCGGCGGCGTATGCTCGTGGTATGACAGGGGAGTGCATGACAGAGTTGCTTGCCCCGCCTTCCAGATTGACCTCAGGAGTCGAGTCCTGCAGTTCGATGGACAGGGGATAGTTAGGGATATGCGTGGCGCTCGTCTTCCGACAAGACGTCACGGTGTTAGGAGAGTTGTGTATGACAGGTTAGGCCTGGAGTTGAGGGAGGATGAGTGACAGATTACATGTCCACGAGGCGCATGGGGTGCCAGACTATGAGATCAGAGAGAGGGTCGATGAGGATGAGTTGATTGTCATGGGAGATAGGTTGTTGGGCACGTTCCATAATATTATCTTCTACCATGAAGACTTCAAGGCATGGACATGTACGCCTCACGACTTGTACATTGATAGTTTTTACTCTAGGGTTCAGGGTTTGAGTTATGTACTGTATGTAGCGGTGACCAGACTTAACTCATGCTTCAGTAGACTCTATATACATGACGGACTACTAGTTTGAGTAGGTTGGCTTGAGTAGTGGTTTGAGAGATTGCACTGGGCATGAGAGCCCAGTTTTGTGTGAACTTTGTGTGAGTTTTGTGTGAGTTTTGTGCGAGTTTTGAGTGAGTTTTCTGTGAGCTTTGTGTGAGATTTGTGTGTATTTGATATGAATGTGACATTTTAGGTTAGGACATTGAGTTAGTGAGTGTCTCTTGCGAGATACGTTGTTTCGTTTGGAAGCACTGCTCCGATATTCGGATGGTGATACCCACTTAAGACTTTCGATTTTTAATGATAGCTTCGAGATTCAGAGCGTAGTGCAGTCTCTGCAAGGGGGTTTGATTGGTAGGGCTCCTAGAGAGAATACCTTATTAACCCCAAGTGGGGCCTTGTGGATATCACACCTCAGATATATCCTACGGGACACGATATTGTATTACGACTTTCCTTTGTGATGATTTTTGTTTGAGTATGCCCTATTGACGGGCTTGATTCAGATCTATGAGTCTCGTGTGGAAACAGGGAGTCATGGATGATTCTCACAGTATGGACCTATACTCACTTCCCCTGCATCTGTGATGTTTGTACCTATTTATTGGTTGTGAGTAAGTTGTTTGATTGTTGAACAAATGGTTTCTGGCCTTGATTGCATATGAATCAATGGGTGAGAGTCAGTGAAAAATTGTTCGACAGAAATACATGGAAATTGGCTGGACCGAAACTTTAAGGCAGCCTAAATGTTTGATAGGAAGGGGGCCCGTTTTGAGGAGCCACCTGTTTATGCATGTGAGATGAAAGCATAAATGTTTTATTATAACTTGTTTCGTGAAAATCGATAAAGCTTTGATTTTTGCAGAAAACTGTCAGTGGATAACCAAGCTTGAGAAAGATGTTTATATGATGAGGGGTTTCTTTGAAAGAGAAAGAAACTTGTTTGTGAGGCTCTGGGGTCAACAATCGCATTTGCCATGATCAAGCAGAACGACTGCAAGTATTGAAAACAGACTCAAGAGTATTTTGGGAGGCCTAAGCCGAGGGCTAAATTGGCATCGTTCGGGCAACCCCCAACGTGGGCCTAAGCCGAGGGCTAAATGACACACACAGATACTGTCACCATCGCACACACACAGATGCTGTGACACAGACAGATGTTGTGACGCAGACAAATATTGTGACTCACACAGATGCATAGTGACATAGTCACACTTTGACATACGCGGTGACACGGACACTGTAACATACATAGTGTGACACAGACTGTGGCATGCAAAGTAAGAAACAGGTTGAGACATACAAAGTGTGACAGAAACTGTGGCATGCATAGTAAGATACAGGTTGTGATATACACAGTGTGACAGAGGTTGTAGCATATACAACAAGATACAAACTGTGACGCACCCAGTGTGACACGGACCGTGGCATACACGGTGAGATACAGGCTGTGACATATACAGTAACACATATAGAGAAGGCATAGATTCAGGCACACAGTAGCACACGGAGTGCACGATGAAGTGACAGTCACTCAGTGACACAAGCACTGTGACGCATACACGGTGAGAGACACACAGTCACGATGTCACACGGTGACAATCACACAGTGACACACACAGTCACGGTGACATAGACAGTAACAAACACCATGACGCACACAGCAGACTGTGACATATACAGTGATGCATACACAAGTGACACGCGCACAGTCATGCGGTGACACATACGCAAGTGACATGGACACTGTGACAGACACAGTGTCACACGCTGTAATGCACAGGCACAGTGATCAGCGTTGTCGAGCGGGGAACCCCGGGGGCAAAGCCGGTGTTAGGCTGCGGACCCCGGACCCCCGCCGCGGGGTTCATCCAACCCCGCCACCGCCGGACGACCCCCGCCGCCGCCCAGCCCCGGGTACCCCGCCGCCTAACCCCGCAGGCCCGCCACCGGCCCCGCAACCCCGCCCCCGCATCGCCCCCGCACCGCAACCCCGCCACCGCAACCCCNTGTGTGTATGTATGTGTGTGTGTGTGTGTGTGTGTGTGTGTGTGAGAGAGAGAGAGAGAGAGAGAGAGAAGAGAGAGAGAGTTATTCTTCTTCCTCTTCTAAGTCCACCATCACCTCCTCACCCTCTCGCTACCTAACTTCTCAGTACCGGCAAACTACGAGAAAGAGAAAGATTGGTGACTTTGGAACTTGACGACATTGGATTCAGGCTCGACATTGGGATTCAGACATTTGACGAGGGATTAGTTGGGACCTGTGCGAAGACTTGGTGTTGACGACATTCCCATCTTCCTCTCTTCTTCGCCTGATCCCCTCCTCTTCGTCTGTGTATGCATGGGGACTGGCGCATTCTTCCTGTGTGGGCGCCAGGCCCCTTCACACCGTGTTATGATGATGATGATGTATGTTTGGTTGCGATGTTGATTGGGTCGATCTTTGGTTTACTGGCATTCCGCTGCACTATCCTATATTGTGTGAGAGAGGTCGGTTCTTGATCTGATCTGTACCATTACGGTGTGCGACAGGAGGGGGTGCGCAGAGGGAGCAATGCGATTGCGTGGAAAAGGGGAGCACAAGAGGAAGAGGAAGAAAATGAAGAAGAGGAGAAGGAAAGACGGAAGGGGGAGAGAAGGGATTACGAAAGGAGGGGGCGAGTGATGGTCCTTGGTGCATGTGGCATCTGTGAGTTGGGGATCGAGGTTGTGAGTGATACAGGAGACATACCTGGTGCTTGAGGCGAACGGCATTGGTCGAGATCAGCTCGTACTTCGGAATGCTGTTGACGTGACCTGTGACATTTGTAGATAGGCTAGATAGGATCTGCCATTTGTGGTCGGGGCTAGCGCCAGGAAGGATAGACACTGGTTCTATGTGATGATGATGATGATGTGAGGGCACTTACCTTGTATTGGCGATGGTCTGCACGGGCGACATCTTCAAGTACTTCGGGTTGCCGTTGATGTCAACAATTGCATGGTCAATTCCTAGGCTGTAGTAGCTGTGTAGGAGTAGGCTGGGCGCTGAGCTCCAAGTAGGAGAGTGAAGGGGCTGGACTCTTGTATTGATGTGGAGAGAGTATGCTTTCCTTGACATTGGTTTTCGGTACTACGAACCTCCATTGGTGTATTATCGGTACAACGCTGCTCTCCGGACACGGTGTGACTATCTGGCTTTCAATGTGATGGTGTGATCCGGAAGTGTCATTTCGCTATTGCTTATTTTTTGTATCTTATTATCATTTTTATTATTATCATTATTATTATTATTATTATTAATATTATTATTATTATTATTATTATTATTAGGTGCATGGTTGTCCTTGGATACAAGTGGCTTCTGTGAGTTGGGGATCGAGGTAGTGAGTGGTGCGAGAGACTTACCTGGTGCCTCGAGCATGCGACATTGGCCATTACCACTGCGGGAGAGCTGTTGTCGTCATCTTCGGCATTGTAGATATAGGCTAGATAGGATCTGCCATCAGTAGTCTAGGCGCTGAGCGGCATATAAGACTTCGACATTGGATCTGCATTGATGATGATGAGATTATGCCCGCATTGTCAATAGTAAACTTTTGTTGTTCTGTTAGTTGGTGGGACTCGCAATGCTATTCTGTTTTTGGTTCAAGGTTACGACTATCTGGTCACATGTGTAGGATGCCGTTGATTTCTGAAGTTTGAAATCGCTCATCTTCCTTGCTTTTTTTTAATTATTATTATTATTATTATTATTATTATTATTATTATTATTATTATTATTATTATTATTACTTAATCAGACTTGCTCTCTTGCTTACTTCACATGCCTGCGAACAGGCTTCACACCCAACGGGCGACAAGCGCCCAAACTCAAAGCCCAGAGATATGGTTACTCAGAACACTGTTCCGCAGGGCTCATGCAGCGACCAATGAATAGGTGGACGCTGCCCTTGATTTATACTTCTGTAGCTCGTTGGACTGGCCCTTTCACATACCTACGACAGACAGACAGATAGATAACAAACAGACTGGATAGACAAACAAAACACGCAGACATAAAGTGACAAACAGACAGTCTGAGACAAACAGACAGTTGGAGACAGACAGACGGGCAAACAGATAGACAAACAAACAATGTGATCCCCACACAGACAAGCGACAGAAAACACACACAACCACGATAACACACACAGTGAAAACAGATACTGTGATACACACACAGTGAAACAGAGAAGGTGAGACACACACGAATAAAGTGACACACACGGCCAAATGCTGTGACATCGACAGATGCTGTGACACATACAAATGCACAGCGACACACACAGGTACCATGACACACAGACACAGTGACATACACAGTCACATGGTGCACAACGACACACAGGGAGCGGTGTGACACACACAAAAAATATTGTGACAGGCACACGGTCACACACACTGTCACACGGTGACAGTCACACTGTGACACATACACTGTGACAACATAGTCATGCAGTGACCATCACACTGTCACACGGTGACAGTTACACAAGTGACACATACACTGTGGCACATACACAGGATCACACATCACAGACACAGTGTCACACTCGCTGTCACGCAAATATAGAGTCACACAGGTGCACAGTGACGCACACAGTGTGACACACACACACGGACAAATGTGATCCGTATAGTGCACGGTGACACACGTTGCACATACACATACACGGTGAAAACAATGTCACACTGTGACATACGCACGGTAATACACAGTCACACAGACGCCGTGACACTCACA